TTTAGTTTATCGATCCCCAATTTGTCACTACCAGTTATGACAATATCATCCACATAGTCCACTAGTAAAATCTTTCTAGCTTCTGAATCATAGTTGAACACCGAGTGGTCAACCTGGCATCGTTTCATTCCAAAATTCACCACTTCACTAAACTTCCCAAACCAAGCACGAGGCGATTGTTTCAACCCATAAATTGCCTTTTTCAGTCTGCAACCTTACCATCCTCCCCCTGAGTAACAAACCCAGGTGATTGCTCCATATATACCTCCTCCATAAGGTCACGATGAAGGAAGGCATTTTTAATGTCAAGTTGAAACAAGGGCCAATCATACATAATTGCTAGGGAAATTAAGACACGGACAAAGCCAATCTTAGCCACTGGAGAGAAGGTCTCCTGTTGTGGGCCTGGGAATAGGATCTCGTCACGGGTCGGTCCACGGGGAAAACCTCCTGTTTTCCCTTGTCCCTTCCTTTTCTTGAGGTACCTATCTTGGCGCCTTGGTGATTTGTTCAAGAGATCACCAACTCTCCTTACTCTCTTCTTGACTGAATATTCAATGCCTTCATTCAATAATATTGGCTCCTTAAATAGGAGATTACAAGAGTCCTGCTCTTAGGGAGACTCCTTGCTGAATAGGGAGACCTCCAGCTCTATCTTGATAAGATAAGACTGATAAGATAAGATAAGTCTTTCTTAATCCTAATCTAATAAGATAAGATAATCTAATCTACTAACTTAATAAGATAAGATAAGAATAACAAGATAGTCTAATCTAATCTTCCGAATGGATAAGACTGTTGCTGCCGAATTGGATAGGATGAGAACACCGGATCATTGCTGTTGCTGCTGCTCCCAATACGCGTCCACATCATTACTCCCCTCCTGGACTACGAGCTTGTCCTCAAGCTCGATACAGTCAAAGGAATCCCGGATAGGTGGAATGACTTTGCCCTCCTGGATCGGGTTCCAATGAAGAGGGTTCATCCTCATCTTCCTCTTGTTCCACCAGGAGGTAAAAAAGTCTCTTGCACTTGTGCCCTGCTGAGTAGAGTTCATCACAATTAAAACATTGTCCCCTCGCCCTGTATTTCGCCATCTCAGCCCTGGACAAGTGCTTAATAGGGGTGCAACGACGCTGCTCCCCACATTGGATGCTGATCTGGAATTGTTGCTCGTTTGTGGCTTCCGTTCTTGGCTGGCTGCTGAATATGGAGCCATTCCGAGTGGTTCCGGGGATGCCCATGCTGATGGAGGCCGCCCCCCCCATATTGA